GAGATTGATGCTACGATTGCGATGGTGGCCAGTCAGTGGCTTGGTTGGAATTTGCGGTGGATCTTTCTGCTGTCCTGTAACTTGACGAACACCGGAGCAGGTTGATTGAGTCATGAATATTTAAGCTACTTTCCGGGTGGCGCTTGGAGTGGTTTCACTATCAAAACAACTTTTTCGATTCTCGGCGGGATTAAAGAGCGTTCCATTTTTTTGTTTCTATCAGAATTTAATTTCCAAATTCAAAAGGATTATGCTATTGAACGAATAAATTATCTCGAAACGTAAGGTTCAGCCTTTCTTTACACATTCCCCATCAAATATTTACTCTTGCCCTACAGTGGAAATAAGATTTGAACTTTCTGCAACTGCAACCTTTCCCGGTGTCGAGAACTTTGCATGCACAGGAGAATGCTCTCAGTTTGCACTGAACTTTATCATCTGTATAGATAGGCAGACTAGAACGTGAATGGAAGTGCACACATTTTGCTACAGCTTCCGAATATAGGAGGCTCATGCATGTACTGGCAGACACCCATTGGGTGAAAATTACCAGCTGTTTGCCTATCAAAATGCATATGCAAATAAAGGAAGTTTCAACTCTCGTACTGGTGGCAAGTGGCGTGTAGATGTGTTTGGTGATGACTGCCATTTTTCCACAACGATATGGAAATGGTGATGACAGCGAATAATTTGCACCTTCAAGTGGTGTGAGTCATCATTGGAAATCGATAACTTACCAAAGCACAATTGTTGGAACACAGTCCGCATCGTGCTCTCTTGGTTTTTAAATCGGGCATAGACATTTTGAGGTAATTGGGTTTTTAAACATTTTGTTTTCTTAATTTTTTTACTTGAAGTAAATTAAAGGTCTTTTTTATGTTTATTTTTCTCGGAGAGGCATTAATTTTCACTGTAACTTTGTCTCAGACGACATTTCGATCAGAAGTGCCGCTTTCGTGTTGAAATATTTACATAAATTACAAGGACGCCACTTTCAAAATTTCCTATTCCACTATTTTTCCTGGAATTGCTCTGCAGCTTTAACTCTTCGTCTGTGCCAAAAAAAAAATACATTGACTGTACCTTGAGGTCAATTTAACCCCAAAATCAAATTTTCATATTCCAATGGATCTTTTTAAAAATCTCGTGTTTTTTGTAAAATAAGTTTAATATACTTTTAGTTCAATCTATCAAAGTTTATTTAAGCCCTCCCCATGGATATGGAGGTTGACGGTACTGAAGCAATGGGTTAGGTTTATTTTTTTTATATTTGCAACGATGATGATTTCCTATAGTGACACATATCACCTTCTTAATGCTTCAGTATGCCTCAAACGATTAATTCTTGGTTGTTAATAGAACTTCCTTGATGAAATCGGCTGTTTTATGCAGACTGAGCAATTCTGATTATAGTATCATATTTGTTCTGTACACAGAGAAACTGGGAGGGCTTATTAGAATCTTCTCACCAATAAAGTAATGATCTTCTAGTAAATTTTGCATATAATTTTAATTAATATTTTATTTTATTTAAGCATATTATTTTTGTTACAGTCAATTAGCATTAGCATGCGATACAAGAGATTTAATATTACTTGCTCGTTTTTGCGTAAAATAATTAAAAAAATTTTTTTCTTGTAATTACCTTTGAATGTTTTTTTTCAAGTTTTTTTTTTGTGATCTGAAAATTTTCCCAGTTTGGTTAGAAGTTTCGAAGCTAACGCATGTCCACTGGCCTAATAGAAAGATTGGCAGAAAAAGTGTATCATGAAGAATGGTTGCATGCAGGGTTGCTTCCACTCACTTGCTATAGATGAGTGAATGTTGTAATGGAGATTTGTGTTTTTGGATGCCGGAGGAGATTGGAGGGCGGGTGTTTGACGCATAGAGCCTGTCAATTTCGCTTTCAGAGTGTCGCAGTCAGCGGTTTTATGATTCGTGAGCGCTCGCGATTCGTAGAATCGTTGATTGTGACTGCAAGTGGATTTGGCCGGTTTTGTGTGTCGGACGCTTGCTTTTTGGCTTCTTTTTGTATCTAACATGTGCAGAGTATCATTATAGCGTCTAATGGTTTTGAGATTCCTGGTTGCGTGAAATATATTTGTGAGAATATCTTTTTTAAGATTTTAGTAGTCACGTTTTGTTTGTAGTTTATATTTTATTTCTTTCATATAATTATCGTAAATAATAGTTTTCAAAATAGATAGTTCATGTATATATTCGTACTTTGACGCGAAGCGCTGTTGATTATGAGATGCTCGATGACCCTGGAGGGATCGATTTTGCTTACTGAGCAGAAAATCATGGGTTTAATCCCAAGCTCTTCGTCATGACTCTTAAAATTCATGATCACTAAACAAAATGAATATTTTCTTTCGATAGTCGGCTATCGAGAGATTAAATGAACAACAAATAAACAATACTTACTTTTGGTTGCATCGCCAACTTGAGGTGAATCCTAACCGAATACCCTACCCAACCCTCCAACTCCGTAGCACTTATGAGGGTGTCGCTAAGTCGGTGGCCGCTCGTTAAGTAAGTACTACATCAACATTTCCTTCCCTATCCTTAGTTATGGTAAAGATGGGCGTGGCCGGAAATAGCGACAGTCATGCTTCTGTTACTCTGGTTTAGATTGGAAACAATGTTTAATCCCCAGAATTTCTGAGAATTTCAGAAGAGACGTGAGTGTCGCTAGTATCCAATCTACGAAGTATATCACAACAACGCTAACGCTAATGTATCATAGTTTATTTAAGAAGGCGGGATCAGTGGTGGCACGAGTACTGGAGTTTAACGTTTTTTTCCTTAACATTTGATACTTTGCGCAACGACCATAGAAAAGACGCACAAACACAAACTGGCAAGCGGAAAAATGTCATGACATTTCTAAACTGTTTTCTGCAGGCGACAGAACATTTGCGCACTATGAAGCAGACAAGACCAGCGGCACGTGCGACATAAATTTATGTCATGTAGAATTTTGCTGATTTCTGGCTAATTATAGCATTTATTTGATGTTTATTGTAATGAATTATAAAATAAGAACGAATACTAACCACTCATAATCTCAGATGTTAAAATTATGTGTAAATTAACTCCCTTATTTAATAATTTACTGTCACACGCAAGCTTGCAGCTAAAATGTAATTTCAAGAAACTGTTTGAAAAATAATGGGCTACGACATTTTCCCTATTCTCTATCTCCGCCGTTTGCTTGTAATGTAGAAATACACGACCTCCCGTATGCTGGCTGTTTTGTTTTGCTCTGGATGATGGTTTTGCAAAAAATGTACTGTTGCCCCACCTCTGGGCGGAATCACTCATAGGGAGGGGTCATTGTAAAAATATACCCATGAAGTGGCAAATTGTGATGCTAGCGATGTTTACATCACAAGATCACAACCAAATAGGATGTTACTTGCTTCTGCAAAAATATTTTAAAATACAAGGTCTTCAAAACTATGGATAGTGTATGACAGAATTGACTCACTAGATGGTGCTAAAACGAAAATGTTCAAGTTGCGCGAACCAAAGTACGCCCACGCAAACCAACAACATCATCGGATAGGGGCAACTATCACCTTTCCGAAAGTGGTATTGCCCAGTAAACCATTTTGCATGGATATCACAATTTATGGCCGTGATATACATGTGTATATCCCCTCATGTTAAATCGCATATAATGCAAAAAAAGTCCTTATACGTATAAAAGTGGAGGCGATATACGTGCAGTGCCTGATAATTAGAAAACGACAACGATTTAAAAACTAAATATATACGACTTCACAGACTTTCTTACGAGTTATTTCATTACTTGTCTGATATTTTTTATGTGTATTGTTACGACGTTTTTCATTACTTTATGCGACTTAAAAACTACACATTTGCAATTAAACTCAAGCCACAGTACGACTTGTTATATCATTATTTGCGATGTAAAATGGGTTCAATTACGACTATGTTTCTGCTCAGTGATTTCTTTAACCATAATTCACGATTTCCGATGTATATTGTTAGGATATTATTTGGTATTTTATGCGACTTGATCTGTATAGTTTATTTGAAATTAAAAAAAAAATATTCTCTCGTAGCACAAACCCTATTATAACTAGCAGATTTCTCATCCTTTCAATTGATCTGACAAATTCTCATCAATTTACATTTATTATCATTTATAAATTATTACCTTATCACCCCCGGCTCAGCCTCGAACTACGAACTTTCATGTTGATAAGCGGCATCCAGTACACTGCACCACATCCTAGATATCGAATGTACTGATTTTTAACTATGACATTTTACATTCACCGCTTATAAGGTCAAAGTAAATCGTATAATTTAAAGTCTACTAGATACTGTTTCACGATTTAATTTGTAATTATATACGAGAAACTTTGTAAATACGTGATATAATATGTACACCTATACGAGGAACTTTCTGTATGCCGCCATTGTTGTTTACATTCGCGTTCGCGTTCGTCTCGTCGTCTGTTTCTCCAAACATTTAGTGTATCATAGTGTCAAAATAACTGCTCGGAATTGCTATTAACTATCGAAATTAACTTCATAACAGTAAGTTTCTCAATAATACAATGAATTATTGTCGGATTGATAAGAATAATATTCAATTTTCCCCAAGATGTTTTCTGTGGTACAGTTCTTTGAGAAGCAGCAGCTGCGTGTGCTAGCGGTTCCTGCTTCGTGGGTACGTGATGGTTACTTAATGTGGCCCAAGCTGTCATCAAACGAAAAACTAGATAAAATGCGGACGAATGGTATTGATTTCCACGGTGCCACAAAGAAAATACCGGCAATTACTTCTCGTAAATACAAAAGCCTGAAAGCAGCAGAAGCAGCCGCCGAAGAGCTTCTTAAACATGACATATCAGACATCGATGCCAAAAGGAAGCTACTAAAGAACTGCAAAACGAAATCAGCTACTTCGCAAAGATCTAGGGATTACAACAAGATAATCGGGAGTATGGCTTCTGGTTTACTATCGCTGATTAAATTTACTTATTATTTTTAATTTCCTAGAAATTACTTCATCGAACACAGCAGTTCAGTTTAGTTCAAACGGGTTGTCATATCAGGAACAAAATCCAGCAGTTCCGGACGTAGGACAGGGTGTATTGTTGCAATCACCACAGAACAATGCTTCCGGGATAGCATCAAGTCGGCCTCAAGAACGACCGTATCAGGAACGAGCTCTTGGAACTCAGGATGAGGTACCGGGTCCATCGGTAAAATCGCTAGGAATGCCATCGCATCCATCTGACTCCGTTGCATCACATCCGTCAAACGCCATTTCAGAAAAGCGAAACAATTCATTCCCGGAAGGTGAAAAAATATAACCCATAAGTAAACGCTTATTAATTTCATGTTTTTAATAGATGCAGATCTGATACCAGCAGACCTGCTTGAACTGACTCATAATCAGGAACAACACCAATCTATTTTCGTAAGTGATGACGGCATCGTCTACATCAATCCATCTACAAATGACTCCGGAGCCATCAACGCACCAGGTATGAAATCAAATGAATTGCCATATTCTGGATCAACAATAAAAAAGGGCCCATCAGCATTTGTAAACAAACGGTTCTAAAGCCCTTTCCTCACAAAGCGAAGACCACCCACACAAACCAACATTATCATCGGATAGGGGAAAGTTTCTCCTAAACGTTTATGGTGTCGGTTTGCGTAGGTGATCTTCGCTTTGAGAGGAAAGGGCTTTAGAACGGTTTGTTTACAAATATTGATGGGCCCTTTTCTATTGTTAATCCAGGTTTATCGTCTATGGTTCCATGCTACTTCGTCGTATGATGCCTATGCCCACAGTATTAGTTTATTTGTATAAATGACGTACGACGAAGTGATATGTCACCCCATATTCCTAACTTGAATAGGCCCTTAACCATTTACATGCTTTTAGGAAATATGATTTCGCGCGATGAATTTAAACTCGAGATAGAATCGGTGAAATCTGAAATGGCCAAATTGAAGACAGAAATGGAACAAATGAAGTATGATATAATCGATTCAATCAACACAGGTGTTCGACAAGCAGTAGAAGATTGTTTCGAGAAAAATCTTCCTCGTTTTGTCACAATGTTGGATATGACCAATAGGGTTGAAGGGCCTACACCACATGTACAGGAAGGAAAGTCAGTTGAGGAGCACAACCTCATTAACGATGAGAAAGATGTAATGAATTTCAACAAACTTTTAGCGAACGTAGATGTATTCAACGATTACGTAAGTTTAACTTATATATTGAAATAATTTTTCGGCTTTTATTTAATGTTGCGTTAAAAAGATCAATATATTGCCATGCATCTTGCCACTTCAAAGAAAATGTTTCAACGCGGTTATCAAATAATCTGACGACATATATTAATTTTTCTCTGAATAAGCAATGTTTCCAGAACAATATCCAACGCAACATATCTATCAGAGAGGTCTAAATCAAAACGTATCTTACAGGTCAAATATTTCTCAAAAATAATTGCTCCAGATACCTACTCGGAAAGAGGCGATTCGGCATGTTACTTAATCGTAGACTGTTTGTTCACCCGAGCATTTTGGAACAACTTTACCTGGACAGGCATCAACAGAGGAAATAAATCAAAACGGGGTTTCCGTGAATTCGCTAATGTCCTTCAACTGCTTCTGAAAATAGTTCGCGTTGGTGACCCATTTTACACGATTAAAAAACTGGAGTCTTTCTGTAAGGACAAACTTTTCCGTTACTCTAAAGCACGATCCACAAGTAAGCAGCTTCGGAAGCCTACATGCCGCCAAAAACGGGATAAAAAAGCCAATGATGATGAAAATGAAGCTGAAGATGTCAATGGCAAGGATGATGACGAGGATAGTGTACAAACCGATAATGCCACCACTGATTCTAATGAAGATGGGTCGGATGATGTTGAGGATAAACCTGAACCGGCTGAAACTTCAATGAGCACCGCTGAAGATGAGTCGCAAGAGTTTGCTGGATTCGCTGATGTTTAAATTTATTATTCGTATTTCGACGGATATTTTTTGGTTAAACATGTTAAGTCACTTGCTTACTTTTATTGTTATTGTTATTTTTACGATGAATCAGAATAAGACAAAAAACAAAGATATTCAAAATAAAATGTGGACTGAATGACCGACCATAATTTCAATTTTTATTTTACAGTATGAATGAGAGGTACAAATACAATTTCGCTTTTTCTTCGAATAGCAACTAATTTGCACATTATACAATCTAAATCGTAATCGTGCTCTTTAGAATAATTGTTTTTCTCTTCTCTGGCAGCAAAAATATGAATAAATGATGATTTAAATGGTTTACTGAAAAAGTCATATTTAAGAAGTATGGAACGACCTTGAATTTTCCAGCCTGAATTGTTTGGTATAGCATTTTCCATGCACAGTATTGTAAGATCTTTGGTAAGAATCCATTTATCTTCGAAGTTAGTGCTCAAAGTAAAATCTGTTAGAGTTATTGTCACCTTCGTTTCTGTTTTTTCGACTGACCGGATGGTTCTAGTACTCACTTGACATGCATTTCTAATACTTTTCGAGGCCTCTTTACTAAGTTCAGTTAAACGGTTTGCAATTTGGTTTAAAGGTAGCGGTCCAGTATGAAGCAATTTTTTGAGTGAATGAAGATAATTTTCAAATGGGTAAGCAGATAGGGTAGATAACGGTCCAAACCTCTCTACTTCATCCACTACATGACAGAGATTATGAACGTTACTAGTGATATATTCTATACCATAGAAATCCTTATAATCTTTTACAAAATCGTTGAACAGTTCCCTTGCAACCGGAAGGAAGCTTTTATACATTTCAACAGAACAAATTCTAACGGCACAAAACAAAAACAGGAAATGTTGATAGTACTTTTCTGGTAAATAGTCTTTAAGTAGAACCAAACCAACGTAATTCAGAAAATTGCGATATTCTAAGCCTTTCCATAGGGAAACATGCTCTAATGAACGCATTCGACGGTGAATTTCTTTAGGAAAACGAATTCTTACGAGTAAATTAGATATTTCGCCTTTTTCTACAGTACTCCACTTTGCTCGCTTCGTCATAGATCCCGTACGCCATCCATTCAGTAACTTCCGCATTACACCCAATTCCAAAAGATGAAGTGCGTCGGCGACAATTATATCCTCAATCATATCAATAGGTAAACGGAGCAAAGGTGTATCGCTCTTTTGGTGTTCAGGATACTCTTTGTTTCTAAATTTCTCATTGGTTCGAGGTTGTGCATCAATTTGAGGAAATATTACTGTGCCAGCTGTGTGACAAAATTTACCTTTGGTTGTACATTTGAGACAACCATGTTTACCATTAAAATTCATCACTCCCTTGATGAATGATCGGGCAGGAGAATCGCACACAAAACAACGCACTTGTACCGCAACCTGGTATCCATTTATCATCAATCCTGTTTCTAGAATTGGCAAAAGCTCGTCTATAAACGGATTTAGAAACTCAGTTGCGTTTTTTGGCTTGCTGGTTCCATAAAATATTCCTATTGCCATAGGAGATATGTGGGGCAATTCGTGAATATTACACAGGATTGGCCAGAAGTTTTTAAGGCTGCTTTTGTGAATTGGCAAACCGTCGATGTTAAAATTCAAAGATATTGATAATGGTCGATCAAGCTGTTCCAAAGCTTTTCGTAGGCAATTCTCAACACCCTGATGCCAATATCGTTCGTTCTCTCCCATTTCAATTATGTTCAAGTTTCTTGGAGTTCTCATGATGGTGCGGGCATCACTCGGCAGATTTAAACCTAGGTTGGAGTTGAGAATCCCTACAAGAGATTTCAATGCAGCCTGAGTAATGTGGAACTCAGCAGACCAGCTGCGAAGTTCAGCAAGAAGATCTTGACGACCAGCTGAAAATGTATGATTGTAAATTGAAGCAATATTAGATACGTTTAAGCTTACGGATTTCCGACACAGACTGGTCCTCGTTGGAAATGTCTGGTAAATCATCAGCATCGTTTATAGGTAATGTCTCGGGAATCACATGGTTCTGAATCTCAGGCAGAAATTCATCAGGATGCTCTATGGCTCGTTCTATCTGTTCGCTAGGATCTGGGTTGTTGTTTCTAGAAAGTTTCCACTTCTTTCTATATCGCTGAAGCAGTCGGCTATAGGTTCCGCTCTTTCGAGCCTTAACTATTCTCCTTTTTGTCAAATAATCACGCATTTTTTAATAATACTTGCTGATCTTAATGAAAACACTCAAGCTTTAATAATTTTGATATTGTGCTTTAATTTTATCCTTACGAGTAAAATTCATATTACATACGATTTAAAATCAACATGAACTGACTTGGTTCATACATATGATGTACATTATATTGTTATCATAATTTAAATCGTAAATCGTGTTTTGAGGTAACACTTTATACGATGTGTACCATATATAATACGATGTAATATGGATAATATGGCTAATGCATGCATATTCATCGTTGTGTGAAATATTAACGACTTTAAACCAACATAATATGGGATCGTGCGTATATTTATGCGAGTCTGGCCTATTCGTCGTAATAAGTTCGTGAAAAAACATAATATGCGATGAATTTTACACATCGACCGTACATAGCGTATACAGATATGCGATAGTGATTTAAACTCATATTTTATACGATGTAATATATACAATCTTATACGACTTCTGGTTGTCTGGGTGGTTTGCGTGGGTGTACTTTGGTTCGCGTGTAAAGGGCCTTAGAAAGTTTGTTCACAAATGCTTTTGTGCCGTTATCAAATGTTATGCCTGATATATTAGTTCAAATTTCACTCACCAGGTGGCGCTAGAACGACACTCATTTTGAATTGTTTTTCCTAACTTAATATCTATATATCGTCTTCAGCAACAGTGTTCAGATGGACACTGACCTATATTATAGTAAAAAGTTCAGCTCAGAATTAGCGCACCAGGCAGCGCTATGCTAGGTGTGACATTAATTTTCAATTGAATGTCCTAACTTAACATATGGACTAGATGATAGAAGGTTTCCGTCTTGGGCAAAGTTGATCAGATAGACAAGACTTATCCTAATGTGAATAGTCTAGTTGAGAATTCACTCACCAGGCAACGCTAGCCAAGTAACCAAAAAGCCCGCAAATTCACCTTTTTGCAATATAAGGCTGATAAACGGTTAAAAAAGGGCATGCTAAGCTTTATATTAGCCGCATATTAGCCTTATATTGCAAAAAGGTGAATTATCGGGCTTCCGACTACGGTAAAGCTGTTCATAGTTGTTCAGACAATACCTTTTCTAAGATAAAAAGTTTAGCTCTGAATTCACTCACCAGGTGGCACTAGTATAAATCAACATTCATTTAGAATTTTTTGTCCAAACTTAGCATATGGACTAGATCGAAGGTTTCCGTCTTTGGTAAAGTTGTTCGGATGGACAAGATCTACCCAACTAACAATTTTCGCAATGTAAACGTTTTACTTATTTCATTTATACAGCCTCAAGCTGTATTAAAATGTTATACGATATGAGGAAACCTTTACTCAACCTCTGGAAAATCAAATCTGGCGAACTTAATTTGCTGTTGGGACGGTAGTGGCAAGCTCTTATTGCATATCCATTTACACTTCTATACAGTTGTTATTCTGCTGTTTAGTTGTGTGTAAACTTCAAAGGCGCTTACCCAACCTTTACCCGATTATCCAATAATCACTTTTGCTTGACGCCAGGTTAAATATTGTTTACGCTGTTTTTTTTTGTGGATGAGTTTATCAAGTTTATTTTATTTTACTGCGAATTAAATTAATCGAAATATGTTATAAGCACACCACCAAATAATTTACACTGTACCGGAACCTGGAATCCAACTCGAGACGACCGCATTGGCGAACCTTGATACTACCAAATTCGCTACGGCAACACTTTGAACTGACCTAAACAAATGTACAGGCCAAGACAACAACAAGATCGCTGAGTAGAGGCTTTATAATAGTGCACATGAATCACCTTTCTCGAATAGTTAATTCAGCTTGTACAGAAGCAGAGTAAAAGCTGTAAAACAGCACACGTCTAAAATAACATGTCTAAAGGGCCGTTTGTTTGTTGGTTGTTGGCCCTGAAAAGGGCCTTTTGTTGTTTCTTCCTGGTGTCCATCGAAAGGGTTGGCGCAATGGGTACGGAACAAATAGGTACTAATCTCTGTTGCCTTTTGGCGCTCCTTTTATTTTGGTGCTATTTGTTGATATTACAGTTGTATTTACTGCAGTGCATGGAGAACTAACACGAAATGCATAAACGTTGTACCAATTGCCGTCTACGGGAGGGTTTAGAGCTGGATGATTCACGCAAGATTATTCTTTCACGGATACTCAATGACCTAAACCTGATGCTATTGGCACTGATTGATGATTCTTTGTTGTTATTTCTCTCCATGGTTCAAAAATATTTCAATTTTGTGAACCTTTTTTACCCTCCATCTAGAGATCTTAAAAAAATATATAGCATAGAAATGTTGTTCAGAGCCACTTGAGATCCAAGAGATTTAAATGCTGGTACTTTCGGGATGGCATGCTTACACCATTGCACAGTGGTCCAGGAAGCAAAATTAGGTGGAATAAATTAATAACTCGAAAAATATTAGAGATAGCGTATTGATGTCTTCTGAACATTTTCTTGTGAGCTATATCCGCGTTATTTGCAAAAGTGTCTTAAACGCAACATTCTACCAGCAACGTAATTTGGTATCTAACTATTTTTATTTCATTTAACATTCTTTTCGTTTACCTCTTCTATATTTGGAGATATAGGCCATATAAGAAAACAAAAGCCAAAAATCAGTTTTCTGTCATTTTTTTTTAAACATCACTTTTTTGGCCTACTGTCTTCAGAGCGATTGTAGTTAATATTTAAATACACATTTTCTCCGAAGACGCTATAACCAGTACAGGTCTTCTGTCAAAAGTTATCGTCAGTTTTGTATTCTTTTAGCCCAAACTTTCAAGCGTAACATTTCAAAATGGCACAAGTACAACCGATAGTGTTTCATATCACTTTAAAAAGCATACCAAGAAGTACATTTAGCAACTTTTGGTGAAGGTAATTT